TTAAAGAATTGCAATGAACCACGTGTTTAAAAACTTCTGGTTTGTCAGCAAAAGAAAGACGTTTCACTTTTCCCCGTCCTGACGAAGATGATGGGGAAGAACTGGTGGCAGGTGTAGCAACCATGGCCACGCTTTCCAACGGGCATCTGATAGTAGCAGACTGTGATGATGAGACCGCAGTAGCTAAGACCAGAGTGCGCAGCAGGCAAACAGCGGCTGGGTTAGAAGGAGCACCTTTCCCACCTTTGGATTTCTGACTACCGCCAGAACCGTTGGAGCCACGAGAAGTACTTCGTTTCTTCTTCTCTCTTTTCTCCTTCTTCTTCTTCTTTCGTTTCTTCCGGTCGTCACTTGGTGCGGGTGTTGAAGAACGATCGGGATGTTTGAAAGCACAATTCTTTCCCCGGTGACAGTCACCAGATTTCCAAAACTTGCAAACTTCCGATCTTGATCCCGGAGTCAACGACCTTCCACGTGAAGAAGAAGATCTACCCTTTCCACCACCTTTGGGCCTCCCTTTGCTGGATTCACGGGGTTTCTCATGTTTGAATGGGCAGTCGCGCCTACTGCACTTTCCTTTGTTCTGAAACTCATAGCAAACACCTTTCGGCTTTTTGTCGCTTGGGTCAATGACTGGAGCCGCAGGGTCTTTACCTCCAAGACTACGCTTCGTGGCATCCCTCATCTTTTCTAGACGTTTCCTTTCAAGGTATGCCTTGGCTGACTTGATCAAAAAGTCATAAGTCTTTTCGGCACTCCCTTCCGAGGCGCGTTCGTAGATGGCAAGATCATGAGCTAAAGGCTTAAAGTTCTTCACAGCAAGATGAAAATATGCCTCAAGCCATTTCTTGTCAACTTCCGTTCGCATCCCCGCGATAACAGACTCCTCTTTCAGGTCCTCGTTCACCATCTTAACACATATAAGATCTTCAACATCATAAATAGCACCGTGTTTGATGGATGTAGCAAAGTACTCATGGAACAACAGTAGGATTTGTCGTCCCTTTATCGGTTCTTTTGCTTTCTCTTTGGTCTCCTTAAACGTGTTCAGTTGGCGAGCAAGGTCCCCCTCCGCACAGTTCGTGAGACTTGAGAGAAGTTTTGCATCCAGCGTGATGAAACCCTCAGAGTCATCCAGGTCCTTAGTGGTCACGGCGTCTTCATAAACCTTACCTAGCCATAACCTGGCCTTGTCCGGCTTAGCGGACGCCGCTGACACATTGTCCCGAACTTTAATTCGCCAATCTCTATACCTTTCAGGTGTAGGAAACTTGGGAATGAGGATCTTTTCGGCCTCTTTGGCCCTCCGTTCACGATCCTCTTTCTTCATCTTCTTCAAATGTTTCCTAACCTTACGGGCAAAGGATGAATCCTCAGAAGATGAGCTCGACGATGAAGGTGACTCGGACGGTGACGGTGACCCCTTTTTGTTTTTCTTTTTGTTCTTTTTGCGGGGTGATCTGCCACGCTTCTCTTCCTTGTCATCTTTCTTCTTCTTCTTTTTGTCTTTCTTGCTCTTCTTCTTGTCATCGGATGAAGACGAACTTGATGAACTGGGATGATCAGGAGGACCACCTCCAGCTACTTTCGGAGCATTAACCGCTCCACTTGCAAGAGCTTCACGGTAGGGTTCGCCGGAACTATCAGTCATTGATTTCTGCATTGGTCGATATGGTTGACCAAGAGGTAGCTCATTTGAACCCATCGGACCTGGAAGAGTTCTCCTGAGGTTAGCCGGTGTTCCAGCAGGCTCATAGTTCCCTCGAGCGGATGTTTCCATTTTCTCTCGAAGTTCTCTAATGAGCTCTGTTTGTGTTCTCAACTCTTCCCTCAGCTGCGATTCACGACTCTGCGCTTGTTGCTGTAACTCTGTCAAGTTGTGGTTGTATAGTTGAGCTTCAGTCAACGCAGCATTCTTGATGACTGCTTCATGTGCATTCATCTTAGCTTGCTCGTTTGCAGCCCAAGATGCAGCTCTTCGTTCTTGTAACTCGAGTTGCTCCTTGACATGGTCGTGTGCCTCTCGATGAATGGCTTCCACTGTCTTTTTCACTTCTTCATCTTTCTTGGACATCAGTTCCCTGTGTCGCGCTTCTGCAAGTTGTGCGACTTCAGCGGACTTGTCCAGGTTGACGTTGATCATTCTTTGGTCGTGGAAGTTCGCCGTTTGGTTAATGACTTGTCTCGAATCGTTGTATGTACTCGACGGAACAAAGGCAGGGCTCGTGGGAGACAGGATAATCGCACCAGTCGATGTAGCTGGTGGCAACACGTTCCCATGTGCTTCAACCAATGCATCCTCATCATGCTCTGAGGTGAAGACTTCCGTCTGTACATATGACCCATTCTCATCGGCATCACCGACTCTTGACCTCGATCGATCCGTGCCATCTCGAATTGGTTCGAAGGGCCTGTCCGCCATGCCACCTCACGTGTGCGCAGAACGAGGGTGGGTAGGTGACACAGCTAGAATGGCGCGTACCGCTCTTTGGCGATACGGCTGATAACCTGAATTTACAGGCCAACAGCCTACAAGTACCAACATGTAGAGCGCCCTTTTCTTGAGCCAAACATAGAGGTCAATATGGTATGTACAGGTGTACAATCGTGCAAATACAGAAACAGCTCTTCAAACAGGAGAACCTACCACATCCAACGTTCGGCCCCACACAGGCTTTCCAAAGCATCAAAGCAACGCTGTCCAAAAACAAGGGCGATTTCAACGCCCACATCCCAGGCTTCCAAGCACCGATTTCATGCTTTTCAGAAGAATCATTGTTGGATAAAGGATTCTGGACTACGAAGCAGGGCCTCCAGGTCACACTTTCGGGTGCTCCCTCCACCTCTCAGTGGTGGTCCCACACAAGACGCCCCTTAGATCACAGGCCTGGCGTTTCCTCAATCCAAATGCTTCAGGGAGTCCACCTTCGCCCCCCCCCCCCCTGAAAAGAGACCACGTGCTTTCAAGCATCTTCCAGCTCTCGATGCTACCAGCTCACGGGTCTTTCACCCAACATGCTGCAGCCAAGCAGTCCATGCCATGCTATTGATGTTTACGAAACCCTACAATCCCACATGATGGGGTCTCAAACTCCAGAATCAAGTTGTTTTGGCAGCCAAGCACATCATGCCTGCAACCAATGGATCAAAAAGTTCCTTTTTTCCACCACCTTATATATATTATAATATATATACCTTTATGGAGATATCAAATTATATCAGTATCAGTTTGTATTTACCCTTCCATCCAACATGGAAGTGGACAACCCCCCCCGAAGGTTGGAGGTAACGACTTGTCTTCCAAAAGCGTCGGTTGGAGTGAGGGTGCTTGGACAGCCGCGGTACCGACGAAAAAAGAGGCAGCCGTGAGGGATCTCGGCGCATGAATCTTCGGCTACTTGAAGTAGAGGAGGTCACCGTGTACACATGCAACATATATATATATATGTATACAATATATATATATTATAACATGAAAAGAACAATAGTAAAAAACATATAACATTCTTAGAGAGATAGAGATACAGAAAGTAAGAATATAGTATACAAAATATCAAAATAGAGTGAACATGAATCTATTCCTCCCTCTCCCGTCCTTAACTCTTATCCCATCATCCCAAAAAACCCCTCATCCGAACCACCGCGGATCCCGCGGATCCACGGATCCGTTTCGTCCCTTTTGGATCTGGATGGGCCACGTCTGTTCATCTCTCCGCCCCGTGGCAAAGAGAGGGAGATGTTCGGACCGGAGAATGGCGAAGAAGGGAGCGAAGTCGCACCGTGTGGCACGTCTCCTGACCGCCTCGAAGTTCTAGCCGTTCGTTGCCCCGGAGGGATGACACCTACACTGGACATGGCTGCAAACACTTGTGGTTCTGAATTACACCACCTTGACCTTGAAGATCTTGAAGCCACAAATGTTTGAGCAATTGCCAAGGGGTCGAAGGAAGCCTCTGATCAATTTGCGTAGAGTTCATTTCTAAAATTTACAGCCACTGTGGGAAGACAAAAAAAGGCGCCTGACAGCACTTAAGCGAATCTCAACAAGAAGGGCTTTTGGAAAGCATTTGGACATAATTGAACACTGCCACATCACATCTGCTCACTGCTTGCTGGCACGACTGTCCTGCCCACTGAACCCGGTGGATCGGGAGATCTTGGAAGGACACGCTTCCAGCCCCCAAAAAATCATCTCAAAAAGCACTGGGCTGGTTGAAAATACTAACTCTGACAGGTGCGCGAGGTCTCCTTCCAAGCCTCTCACCACCAAATATCAAAGAAAATACATAGCCATCAAGCCGTCTCCAAAATGTAGCCTGAGAATCCTTGGGCCCTCCAGTAAGGGTCCATTTGAGGGCCCGGACTCTTTTGAAAGTGTGAGTGGAGGTCTGAATCAGTGCGGACTCTTCTGCAACGACACGGCTTAACGCCTCGGGTTTCACCAAAGCCTCGACCCTCAAAATGAACAACTTCCAAGATTCAGGGCATTGCACCGGGTTGTGCATTTGGGGGACGTACTGGTGCTTGACATGTTAGTGTACAGTCCCGAATGGACTTGTGCATCGAACAAGTAAATATAAATTAAGGGTAGGGCCTAAAAATGCTTCAGGTGGCGCGCAATTACTCAAGGCTGAGATCTTAGCACTTTGGAGTGGCGATACTTGCACAACTCTGTCCTTTCACAGAGCTGCATGTGGCAAAAAGGGATCCATTGAGGCCCTTAGAATACGAAGCGGAGATTCATTCTGATCCTCAATCTGCCCACGGGCCCCGTCTTCAAAAGGCCAGTTGCAGCCGAAAACATCCATTGAAAAAAGATCCGATCGACCTGTTTTTTCGGATTAGAACACCAAGGACCTGGTGTTTTGTCTTCGCTTGGCTTTCAGCACCTCACAAGCCGGAATTGGCCTCCCAAAAGTGGGAGGTACCTGTCAACGGCGTCAGGGTGGAGTCACAATCGCTGACCGAGGCCATCTGCCACAGCTGCACCAAGATTGGAGTCACTTCCACATCGAACCAATCCTGCCGACCGAGACCACGGACAGGATGCCCTTCTGAGCGGAGCACGGCAAGCGAGTCTGAGCGGTGCACGTGTCATGATGACAGCACACCTCGTGGAAACGAGGTTTGTTGTTTGTACCATTCTGTTCAGGCCTCCCGCGAGCGCGAGGCCTGAGAAGATACAAGAAACACATGGACCGAACATGTGTTACTGTTAAGGTCCAACATGGTAGCAAATCCATGCAAAAACAATATACAAACAACCTTTACAGTAAAACAAAGACCGTTTGAGGCAAAAATGATGGCAAGAAAGACACACTGTTTGAGATATTTTGAGAACAGACCTCCAAATCCTATAGTAGCCTCACTGTGTGTGTGTGTGTTGCCTTTAGGTTGTGCACTCATTGTATCTGCAACATTGTTTGTGTTCCCTTTTGGGGTTGCAATCATTTCATCTAAAACATGTTGCTTAGTTTTTTGAGGTTTTGCTATCGTTTTACCTTAAACATGTGCGTTGTGCTTCTGTTGGTTGTTGCCTCTCGTGGTTTAGCACCTTCTTGGCGATGTAGCCTTCTAGCCTTACCACCCGCATAAGAGGCAGGTTGCAATAGAAACGGAGCCAAATGCACTTTGGCCCGTACTCAAGCAGTGGCTTTTTCCTTCTTGCCTGCTGACTGTATATTAGTAATATATTAGTAAGCTCGTGTTTCTCTTATTCAACTCTTTCACTGCTGATACAACTGATTCACAATATCATGTGTTCATTTAGTTATTCCTCTCTGTCAACATTCTTTTCTGCAAGCCCTTCGGAGTCTCAAAAGGCTTTACGATTGTTTCAGTAGGTTTAAGTCTTCATTAACACTTTTCTATACTCTCGAACTTGCTTTTAAACTGGGGACAAGTTGTTGTTTCTTGTTTTGCTGTATGTCTTTTCTGACAAATGTTTGACTTAAAACCATTCAGATCCAAATAAAGGAACGCAGTGCTAAAGAAGGTAATGAGCTTCACCGGTGCGAAGGAGGACTGATTAACTTCTATCCACGCAACAGTTATTTCCCGTAGTTTCCTGTCTCTAATTGTGTCTGTCTTGCTTACAGCAACTCTTGCTACCCTTTCTGAAACTTATTTCAACATTGAGAACCAAACAGGAAACCTGCTCCAATCTTCACAAGGATTGTTCTTGACCAAGTTGTCTTGTCTGCACTTGTGTGCATGCAGGTGTTTCAAAAAATAGGGCAGGCACAGGGCACAGGGCAAGAAAAATCCCGACGTCTAAAACCAGGCACAAATTACTATATGTAATTATACAGGTGGTTTTCTCGTCATAGTTATCTTTGGGTTTGGACAATCCATTTTTCAACAGCTGCCTGTCTGTGATACATAATATTCTTCAGTCAGCAACTTTCCTACTTGTACCATTGTGCTCGAAGCTATGGCTGCTAGGAGATAGGAAACAGTTCAAGCATAATTGAATAGTAGAAAGAGCCAGTCACAGAACGTAAAATCGATTGAAACAACAGACAAGCCGGGAAAGGGAAGGGTGTTGAAGCTCAAGTCTGCATATCTGACAACGAACACTCAAAACGAGCATGTGGTGATGAGAGACAAATCCAAACAGCTTTGGCGAATAGTGAGAACACATGACCAAACCAAACAAATATGTGATATTAGGCAAAGAAAGACGCAAACACCCTCTTTGCCACCATATAATTCTATCTAACTCTACACAAGACATTCGCCTTAAGTTGAGAAAGTAATTCAAGGTTACAGTTAAGCACACTTTCCACCTGTGGTTTTTTTTCCCCGGTGGGGTGTCCCCAAGCCCCCAAAAAGGTGAACGGTTCTCCGCTAGCCCTTCTCCCGTCCAAGATGCCCCGAGCGCAAGGAGAAAACGATGAGGTGGTGCCCCAGCTTTTCCACGGCTTCTTCTGGAGACCAAGCACTGATCATACAAAGGCTGGTGATGAGGCTAAAGGTCACCTGGAACAAAAGGGCTCATCGTTCGATGTCGTGTCTTGTCACTGATGATGTAACAACATACAAGGAAAACATGAACAAAATAATCACAACCCCATTTGGATTCCTCTTGATATGGGAGGTATATTGATCAAGATCCTACAGAATTAGGGCTCACATGAACACCACGTTCACATGAACACCACACTCTTACTCGTGGGGATCGGATTCGAAGCGGCCTGGCCATGACACCATGGTTTGCTGTCCAACCGGGAACTTCCCCATCTTCCCCAGGTGTGGGGATTCACCCAGTGAAAGGGAAAGTCGTACATGCTTTTTGTGTCGTCTCCGGCATGTTCCCAATCTGGATCTGTAGACTTATAGTCTGTGCAAAGCTGGCATGGACCCTGAAAAACCATTGGTTGGTAGAGGAGCACCATCTTCCAGGGGACCTTTGTGAGGGTCCATGCTATTTTTGGGAGTGTATATCTTGAATCGGAATCACGCCCACCACGGGAGTAAGTAGTCAACAGTAGCACCACCTCCCACATAAACCGCCAACATTCAACTGTCCCAGCTGCTGCATCTGGATACGGCACAGAATCTAAGACATCCAAATCTGCGCAACCGGAGGCATGCAGGACCATCTTCCATTGTTCTTCGCCAAACTCAGAGATGACCAAGTCCTTCAGGATCACATGGATGTGGCCATACATGATGTATATAAACCAGTTTCGACTCCTTAGATCCAAAGAAGAACCTGAGAAAACCCTGCAGGGCGCAGTCTGAAATCCTGACCTTCCTGGATGATAGAAGATCAAGGTGATCGCCTGCGCCCACCATGATATGCGGAATCATGCGGAATATGACACAATCCTTGGACCCGACAGCTTAGGTCAGGGGGTCCAGAGACGGCCGCGAAGGTCCGGACCCTGTATGGAATACACATAAACACACATTGTTCATTTACTCCACATGCCCAATTACAGAAATGACCCACTTGCGGATGGTTTGACAAGATAAACCCTCTTCACCCCTTTCCATTGCTTCAGGCCCGGATTCTGTGGGTACTCAGCAAGCCGCCAGTTTCATCCGATGTGCCGTGATCGGCCCGGCTCTGGAATCCAGGATGCCCAAGAAACATCAAATAATAATGTAATATATATATATATGTATATATATATATACATATATATATATATATCAACATGATAAAATATAAACATATGTGCATAGATGTGCATAGATGAGAGGATCTCGACTGGTTGATATACAGAAAGCATCAAGGAAATCTTAGAGTCGAAATGTGCCCATAGCTCTGCTGCATCCGACCGCACGGCCCAAGTCGGGCTGGCAAACGATGGCGAACGCCTCTTTTGGGCCGAGAACTGCGGGGCAGTGAAGTATCTCCATGGTCGACTGACTTCATCAGCCGGTTGGTTTTTGGCACCATTCAAAAGCATTGAAATCACTCGAGTCATTTGAGATACTGTAATCAGATATATAATCGTAAGAAGCCCGGCTCAAATGTTGATATCCCAGTGTGAGGTCTGTAAATGGTCACAAATGGTCACAAAAACCGGCAGATCCCTTTGAAGAAGCTTTGAGCAAGCCGTGGAGGCAACAACTCACAACAATCCCTAGTATCCGTCCCACCGGACATGTTCGCCGACCCGTTCCCAATGCTCAAAGTGTGAGAGATTCACCTCGCTTCTTGGGGGGACGGAATTGTATGATGATGTAAGGCTGTAAGTCAGTGAGACGGAATTGCTGCGTCTTTGTTGAAACAAGCGAAAAACAATGACACCGAAACAAGATCAGCAAAGCAACCATCAACCTGAAAAAGGTATGCTGCAACGCCTTGCCATTTGCTTCTCCTACCACTGTTGGGGGGAAAGTTGTGTCTTCCTTGCTTTTTTTTCCTGTGTGGGGACCCTGGTGGCTGCCTGACTGACATTCGACCCTCCCTGGAACCTGTGCACTCAATGCGCCCACGAGTCTGAGACCACGGAGCCGAAAAAAGAAGTAAAACAAAACCGACTCCCGGCACTCAGAAGGTGCACCAGGTACCAGGTACCAACCAGGTACCAGGTCGCAAGCTCTGTAGGTGTGTTTAGGGCACTTGGAGGTGACCCCGAAAATCCCTGAAAGCCGAAGATCTAAGTGTCACACGATCCTGGTCCGTGAACCGGGTACCACTTGCAGCCTCATGTGGAGGGCAGGTGTCACGAACAGGGGGACGTCGAGGGAGTTTTGTCCAGCTTTGGTTGGGAGTCAGTCTGGGAGTGCTCAAACATGTTCAATCTGTATTGTTGAGAAACCTTCGGGGTCCAAGTACCTTCTCGGAAGTTATTTGGACCCTCCAAACCCACCCCAGTCCCACCTTCTGAGAAGGTACGACTGGGGAAAGAAACTGCAGTAATATATAGTAGCTGACTTAGTCTATAATGTCTATAGTAGCACCAGCAGTTCGGAGTTAGGTGCCGGTGTGCCGGTGTGGGTAGTCGGTAGTCGGTGCCCCGGCGTCACATCCACGGCCCCTGGATGGGACTCTTCCACAGGCATGAACGAACATGGAACTGCTGGTACAGGGGCCCATGGGACTACCCCCTGCCTCAAAGGGGTATCTTGGATTCATTGCCTGAGGATGGGAGATGATGGAATTCTCTTCTTATAAAGTATTTCCAACTTCGCAGTGTCCCCATCCGGTGTCCTTTCCGGTGGCAGGGTGAATCCGGAATGGACGGTCAGAGTCTGGACAGCCAGGATCTCTTCGAATCTGCACACAGCGAGCTCTTCAAGCTCCGAAGTTTGGAGCGATGCTTGCGATGCTTTCTACCACAGAGTTTTTTTAAGAAACCTCACTGTCTGGAGGATGTACCCTCACTGTCTGTTGCCGAGTCTAGGAGCTTTCCCAGTGCCGAGTGCCGGCATTGGGCTAGCTGGGCTCGCCAGGACTGTCTAACACAAAGCCGTGTTAGACACCGGTCAACCAGTCTGACCAGTGAGGCAAAAACGCTCGGCTTCATTCCACTGACTGGGGCGGTTTTGGGCACCTTTTCTCTTCCCGAGGACCGGGTCAGGAGAACCAACAACCCGACTCCCAGCTCGAACAAACTGAGAATTCCTGAGGCCACCTGGCTGGCGGATGTGAGCCACCTGGCAGGCCCGACGTTTCGGCGCGGCTAGCTCGCTTTCTTGATGGCGTGTTCCTTCGCGGCTTCACGACCGAGGCGATTGGTTCTGAAGGGTTCCCGTAGAAAGTTCAAAAGTCGTCCGTCAGCCCAGGGAGGTTCGCTCATCCGAAAGGGCGAGCGTTCAAGAAGCTAAGCAAACGAATCAAATCTGTTCACTGACCATCAATTCCCTCAGTGGCAGGCGTACGAGTTGAGCCTATACAGTTCAAGGGCCTTCTTCCCCGCACCCCGAACTGTAAATCAAGCAAGGCAAGCTCTCGTGGTAGCTTCAAATGACAACCCTGTTTCATGATGTTTCATGTGGAATTTGAATTCAATGCCTCCATATACCCGAGCTTGCCATCCCGATCGCGTTGGAGCTAGTCAACAATGCTAGGGGCCCCTAGTAGCGTCCTTGCTCCTAGTAGCGATCACCCCAGCGGAATCCAGCGGATAAATTATCTGACTGTCCTGGCCTCGGTGGTCAGTAAGATCCCAACTGTCCCGAAGTTCTCAAGCCATGATGACAACATGAAACATGCGTAACACGAGCATAGCAACATAGGAAGCAAAACAACCAGAAACCATCCAAGGGCTCTAACTCACTACTCTACTTGTGGAAGTCCATATCTCCATTGCGCAATTGCGCCTCCAAATTGCTCAAAAATATAGGGTCAAAGTCAGGTCAAACGCCTTCCCAGAATACAACTTATCGCATTGATTGCTTGTTGGTCGTGCTTGAGAAAACGCGGTCCCGCAAACAACACTGTGATCTAATTAATTGCTGACATGCCATGTGATCACCAATACGGGACTCTAAAATATACAGTTACATGCCACAGGCAGCAGCTTTTCAAAACCAAAATGATCCCAAAAACACCACCAGCCCCGGACACCGTTCCGCTTGCTCCGTGGAAGTGTCGCCGGCCACACTGCTGCCCCGTTCCAGTGTACGTGTCGGTCTCGGGGCCAACCTGGTGTGGCAAAGCGAGGGACCGTCACTGAGCGTGCTCGGCCTTGAGGCCCCCGAGCCGGCTGAACCCCTGCGAAGCATGCACCACTCGTTCGTTTTTGTTTGAACCCAAGGAACACTGGTGAACCCAATGTCATTGACCTGCGAACTAAGATGATTCCCCAAGATCCTTCTTATACCATCTCTTCTCATCTCTTCTGTGCTTCAGTGACTACATCAAAAATTATCTAACATGGCGGATCTATAATGGAATTAATTCGAGTCGGCAACGCTTGGTCAGCCGAGAGTGTGCAAGCATGGCACACCAGCATCAGACTCTCCGGGAAAAAGGGCGGGAAAAGTCACACCCAAAGCAAGCAAACCGCTTTGGAGAACTAACATTGCATTTGCTGTCCAAGAAGCGGGGGAAAAAGAAAAAAACGATCCCCCAGAAGGGGATGCACCCAGTTCGAGGAATAAAAAGCACACAAAAAAATCACCTTAAGCAAAACTACGGTTTGGAGAAATGAACTTCCTCCCATTCTTGGAGCCATTTGGAAGCATGGCGAGGCATACTCTGACGAACACTGTCTCGGACCCCGATGAGACTGAGATTCCATGCGACTCGACCTATATATAGAGACCTATGCCTATATTATATATTATATAGCTTTTGGAGGATCCGTGATGCAATGTATGAATTCAGTGCACGTGGCAAATCAATGCAAATGGTCACATATCTTGAATCCGGCTTTTTGATTTGCGTGTTATCTAAATATAGGTCCTAACCAAAAGTCACAACTGTACAATGACACAAGTACCATAAGCTCCTCACCATAGCACGTCTTACCAACGCCAATGAGATCACGCACACAGGCTTGGCCGCCAGGCGTGGCATTGTCAGCTTCCGCCAGTTGAGACCAACCTCAGCAACGCTGCACCATGCTTGTTCTCCACAATTTAATGCATCACAACGTGGAGAGTTTCCAGCACAATGTCAATTGGATTGCATACCTTGGATTTCCGGCAAACTATTGAAACACACATACTCCACAAAAGGAGATTCACCCATAGGGAAAATAAAACAATCACCTTAAGCAACCAAGGATGCCATAGCTAGTATCACGTGCTGTGGGAGTTGGTTAGATTGGGAATACTGAGCAAGGCATCGTGCAGCCAGCATCCCCAAACAAACGATTCCTTTGCCTCCGTGAAGTAAAGCATGTTAAAGACGCAAGTCTTTTAGAGTCCACTCCGAAACAAAATCCACCTGGAGCAACCCAAGAAACACTTGGAACATCTTGGAACGACCATTCCAAGCCAAGGTCTGCCACCCTAAGTATCATGATGTATCATGACTCTTTGACCTGTCTTCGAAGCCACTTTGAGAAAGTTGACAGCGACCGGATCATAAGTAAGTCCAATGCTGAAAACTTGCATAGGTCAAAAGGCAACTTTATAAGGCAGTATTACCTTGGCCTCCCCTTCTTACTGGAAGAAACGCAAGTCCGCCGCTTACGCTATTATGCTACTTCGATGTCATCGCACAATGTCTCATCCTTGAATGGATGAAAAAGGTGTTAAGTTG